AGCAAACCGGGGGGAGGTGTGGGCAGGGAGAAAAGTGCAACAAGAATGAATGACAATCCAGTATCTCTGTAAACGTTCATTAAAATTAATAAAAATAAAAACCTAAAAAATGTTGAATATGTAATTAGTATTTATGGGAATATATTGAAAGTCAGATTGGTTTCTAGTCTTCTCAATTCCTTAACCAAAGAAAAGGAGCTGCTATTTATATAGATGAAAAACAAGATGAATCAGATTAGATGCGCAGAGAATAGAAGCAAAATCAGGTGCAGTATGTTATATTCGAGGTATTTTTAAAATAACTCCACACAGAGTTGTCAAGTTGGAGTTGGATACATGAGAATGGATCTCAGAGAAGGGGTTGAGTATGAAAGTTTAAATTTGTCAGACATGCATAGGGAGGTAATAATAACTGAACTTTGAAAGAGAATGAAATTGTAGATAAAGTTTGGGGAGCTCTGGTGACTATACATAAAGTTTAGTGAATTGCACGGCTAACTCAAAGGCTTAACTTCTCTGGGTTTCAAATTCACTGGCTACTTGGAGGAAGAAAGATGATCAGTCTCCTCTCATGCAATTTACAGACTGTGAAACTTCCAGGATATTTCCAGTTATGAGTAGACCCCACTCCAAGGCAATGAGAGAAATGATAGAAGAGGAGAAGAAAAAAGAGAAAAGGATAGGAAAGGAGCGCAGAGGAGAAGAGGGGAGAGTAGAGGAGAAAAGAGGAGAGGAGAGGAGAGAGAGAATAGAGGGGGAAAGGATGAGATAGATAGATTAGATAGATAGATAGATAGATAGATAAATAGATAGATAGATAGATGATAGATAGATAGAGGGCAAAAGGAACAGGCATAGGCTCAACATTGAGTGGTACGAGTTAAGAGAATCTAACTGAAAAAGAAACAGGAAAGCAATTAAAAGAGATGTAGGGTGGAAATCACAAGCCAAGGAAAGAGAATATTTCAAAAACAAGGGATAGATAAGCATTATTAAAAACATATAAAAAGTTAAGCTTCACATTGTTGTTGTTATGTGTCATCATAGTGATCTTATGTACAATAGCTCTGAACCCCACCCTATCCTGACACACCTACCCTCATTGCCCCAGTTTCTATGTTAGTGCATCTCATACAGGGTCTTCCTCTCTTGCTCTGTCTCTCCCCCCTCCCAAGCATGATGTTCTGCTCCAAAGTCGGGTCCCGCCTGGAAACACGTCCAAAGTATGTGAGATGGAGCTTCAATATCCTTGGCTTCAAAAAGCAGTTTGGTTTCACCCTCTCCAGAACACATTTGTTTTTTCTCTTGGCAGTTAAAGGATGTTCAATACTCTTCTGCAGCACCACAACTTAAAGGCATCAATTCTGTCATTCTTAGTCACTGTCCAGCTCTCTGATGCATAGTAAGTAATTGTGAAAACTATGGCCTGAATCAGGTATATTATAAGGGCTGAAAATATTTATTGGATTTTGAAAATATAAAGGTTCTTGGAAACTTTAGGAAAAGCTATTTTGGTGGATTAACAGAGCATGGAAATTACTTGAGTTGTTCCTCCTCGTAACTGTTGAGTTGGAACCAACTTACAACTGTCATTCTGGTGAGCTTTCAGAGGGTGTACATCACCTGGGAGACAATTAATTACCCATCTTTCTCTTACAGAGTAGCTAGTGGATTTGAACCTCCTATTTTTAGGTTGGCAGCGTAGATCAATACTCACTAGGTCACCAGAGGTGAGAAAATTAAGACAATGAGTATATATTCACATCCCTCCCCCAAGTATTCAATGGTAAAAGGTTAAGGTGGACATGTAGCTAGAGATATATTGGGTCAAGAAAAATCTATAGAGTCCCTCACCCTGAATCGATGATTTAATTAAAGAAGGATTTAGTAAACAAGAGAATTGTTTGCTATAAAAGAGAGGATATTATTACTAGTTTAAACTTCCCCTGAAGGCCAAAGAATATGGGACCAGAACACAAGGATTAAAAGAAAAAGAAGAAACCAGAACAAAAGGATTGAAAGAAAAAGAAGAAACAGCTTTTCTATTGTGACTTAAGCAGAACATGGGTAGGGTGTAAAGAGGAAAGTGGGGGTACATGCTTGAAGTTTTAAAGATGAGTAAATCCTCGACTTATGTCTCCTTTTAAAAAAAACCATCAACAACAACAAGTAAAATTTATGTTTAACTTAGAAAAAGTTGATGGCATCTGTTCTAAAATTTGTCTTTGAAAGTGTTGATGTTCACTGTGGGCTTACCTTACAAGCATCTATTTTTCCTTCCATGAATCCTGCACACAACATTCCTGGAGTTATCAGTCCATAATACACATCCTTTCTATTACAAACATCAGTACTGATCGTTTCTACCCTGGCTTGCCGAAGTTTATTTTGGGTAGGCCCTGTTAAGAAAAAATGGAAAAAAAATGTTCTTTAAATATAACTTTACTAAGATATGTGTTTCTAAGATAAAAAAAAAAACTACTAACATTATTTTATTGACATTACTTGCCACTAACTTTTATTTGCTAACATCATAAACATTTCTATGTATGAAATTATAAACATATATATGCTGGTATTATGTTTCTAGATTTTCAAAGGGGCCCCTACAACCACATGCAAAACTTCTTGTGTGCTGTATTTTATTTCATGAGGCAAGAGTCAGTTATAGATTCTCAAAGAAAGCTTTAACTTTTATTTATCTTGTCATCTGGCATGTTTTCCATGTAAAGAAACACATCAGGGATACTTCATTGATTTTCCAGAAGATATTCAGGTAGGAATCATGGCTTAAGCTCATGCAATCCTATATATGCTAATGGATGAATTTCTGTGCTATTTAGGGATGTTGTGTAACTTGAGAGGCAGAGTGGATTCCAGATTATATGACAGTAATTTGATGATAGCACAGAGCAGGGACAGAGATAAGAGGAAGTGGACATGGCATTTGGAAGTTATAGTGGGAAAAGAAGTTAGACCCTGAGTATCAGAAAGGAGGTAGCCAAGTTCACTGATGCCAGCAGTGAATGAGGGATAAGGGAGGATATGATAGTCAAATTGAAATATATCAAGCATTTGGGGATTTTTTAAATGCAAGATAATTTTGGGTTTATTTATTTGTTGCTGTGTTTATTTAAATTGATTTTAAGGCATACTAGCATTTGTCTTCTATTCTCAACCCTATCAAAGATCATGAAGATGGCACAGGATAGAGCAAATTTCAGATGTGTTGTTCATAAGTTCGCTTGTTGAAGTCAATGGGACAGAAACTAATAACACCTACATATTTTTGCATTTTCCATCTGGAAATTCAAATATAGCATTTTTATTGAGAACTGAGTACTTAGAAATCTAAAATTCTAGATTTAATTGATAATATTTTAATGCTTTTTTAGCCTCTGATAATATTTTAATACTTTTTTGAGAAGAAAATACTCTGTTAACTAATTTAACTGAAAATTATAAAAATATTCAAAAGCCTTTCCATATATAAAACCATAATAAATGATGATTAAAAGTAGAAAGCATTTAAGCAAATGGAAACACTGTCATTAAGATTGTGATTTAAAGTCTGCTAATCAATAATGGATGCATTTTAAATTATTTACTCTCAGAAGTACATAGCCCGGAGAGGCTAACATTGACTAATGGGCTCTTCTAACAATTAAGTTCATGAGTGCATCAGATACTTTTTTTTTTTTCATAAAGTGGAGAGAAAACCTACTCAGACAGGGTCTCATAACAAAAGTTTACAAAATTCTACAGGGCCTCCATAAGAAAAAGATTGATAACCCAGATACAAAATGGACAAAAGACACAGAATGACTTTTCATAAAAGCAGATGCTCCAATAGCTTACAGACACATATTTCTACAGCTTTTTGTTCCTTCTTAAAGCAATAATCTATTATTTTCTGCTACATTCTTGAATTTAGAGGCTGTACTACAGTGAATCATTCAATGTGGCCTTTAAGTATGACTGAGAAGCTGTGTTGACTAGATGCTTGTATCTTGCATCATGACTGTTTCCAAACTTAATTGTACCCTGTTATTCCTGGTAGAGAGTTATGCTTCTAACCCAAAGGTTAGAACCTCTCGGAGGGCTCAAATTCACCAGCAGCTCTAAAGGAGAAAGATGAGCAATCTCCTTTCATGAAATTTACAGCCTCTGAAAACCCACTGGAAGGTCAGATATGGGTTGATTCTAACTTGGCAGCAATGAGTAAGTCATTTCCCTGATAAACCTCATAATCTTGAGTATTGTCTGTGTAGTCATTGCAATAGATTAGGGACCAAGTAGGACAGCTGGAAGAGCCCTGAAAATTGGCAGAAGAATGTATGGGAGCACTGAGACATGTCTGACCCCATAGGAATCAACTTTGTCCTCTTAATATTGCTGATGGGGATTTTTACCCTTTGTGGGGTTAGTGGATGTCAAATGCTGCCACTTTCACACCAACCAGACTATTTTTACAGGTGCTATCAAGTAAGCTCTAACTAAAAGCTGCCTATGTACAAGAGAACAAAACCTTGCCTGATCCTATGCCATACTCAGTTTCTGCTGTCCTACAGTCCATTGTTAGTAGGTGGTTTGAATCCACCAGTTCCTCCACAAGAGTTGTGGTTGTTATTGTTGTTATGTGACTTCTAGTCTACTCCAAAAAAGGATGGGCAATTTCTTCTATGCCATTTATTGCCTCTGAAAATTACCTGGAGAGTCAGCTATGAGTCAGTTCTGACTCCACACACCACCACCACTTTACTAGTTGCTTTATTTTTTTTTTTTACCACTGCTCTGATTACTTGTGAACACTTCAAAGCATAAGAACAGAGTTCCTTTTGTTCATTTATTTTTAACCCAAGGCCCTCTGTTCGGTCCTTTACTATGTATATTGGTAGCATAAAAATTGCTTTTATTAAAAACATCAGCAAGTATTTCCTAAGACAGCTTACTAAAATTGAGGACAAATTTTAGTTAAATATATTACCTTGAAATGACTTACCATCATCTACAATGGATCCAAATCCAGTGACAAATACACTTGTTTTAGGTGGCAACTTTATAAATGAATCTGGAAGGCAAACTCTTTGGACTTTATTTGAAAACTCAACTCCCGTGTCAAGTTGGGCCAAGGCAATATCATGTTCATTTGTTGCTCTGTGATAATTTTCATGAAGGATAATTTTCCTCACATTTCGTTTCACTTCAGATGGTGTTATAGTTATACCAAAAGTAGCAATCCATTGACTTGGGTCTTTATTTCTGAAAAATAAAAAATGAATTAGAAGCAAATAGGCATGATTTGTGATACTTAAGATTATCTTATAAAGATGATGGAGTTCTATTTGTTTTCTCTACTACTGTAGATATTATAACTCCTCAATAATGTGGAGAAGCCCTTACTGAAGACGTTTCTGGTGCAATACATCTCCTTGTTTCCTGACTATTGGTATTAATTGTGAATACAAGTAAGATAAAGTTAACAGTTTCAATCTCTCCTCCATTCACCATGATGTTGCCTATTTGTCCAGTGGTAAGAATCTTTGTTTTCTTGACATTGAGATGAAATCCAAATTGAAGGTTACATTCCCTGATCTTCTGCAACAAATGCTTCAAGTTCTCCTCACTTTCAGCAAATAAAGACTCTCAACTCATAGAGACCCTATGAACAATGTATCTGAACCCTGTCTTATCCAGTGCTATCCTGACACTTCCTGCACACTGGACCTCATTGTCACAGTCACCATTTCAACTCACCTGGTTGAAGGTCTTTCTCTCCTTTGCTGACCCTTCACCCTTCCAAGCATCATGTCCTTCTCCAAGGAAAAGCCCCTCTTAGCAACATATGAGGCAAATGTGTCCTTGGGCCATGGCTGTGTGTCTTGCACATTAGGTATGTCAAGAAGGAAAATTGCAAGCAGTTTTCATGCATCTAAAGACACTTACTCCTTTGAGAGTAGAAGCAAATGTTCTCACTCTTACTAAGATTGTTGTGAATGTAAGAAAAGACAGTCCATGTATACAAAGAAGTTTATTTGTTTAAATGTCTTTTATCAATCAGTGTATTTGGCTCATACTGGTCTTATGAAGTAATCTTTAAAGTTCTCATTTCTTTATGAACTATTTCTTTGTTTCAAAATGCTAATAAAAGCAGAGGCTTTACAGTTGCTTGGGGCTGTGAGACTGAGAGAGCTTCTAGCCTTCTGGAACTACATTTTGCTTTGCTAGTCTTCCTTTGGCTCCACTCACAAGAAACAACAAGAATATACCCAAAGTATGTGAGGCAAAACCTCATCATCTTTGCCTCCAAAGAGCTCTCCAACTGCACTCTTTCCAAGGCCTGTCCATGGGATGTTCAGTGCTCTTCTCCAATACCACAGCACAAAATCATCAATTCTTCTTCTGCCATCCCAATTCAATGTCCAGCTCTCAGATGCATAGCAAGTGATCAGAAAGACCATGGTCTGAATCAGACACACATTAGTCTTCAAACTAACATCATTACTTCTCAATAATTTGGAGA